CACCCCCCCCCCCTGTCCATAGGGTGTGTGACTGTGTAGGGAGTACTGACGGCCCCCTGCCCTGCCCACAGGGTGTGTGCCGTCCCCCGGCGCCCAGGACACCACCCACCGGGTGCTGACGGCCCCCCTGTCTCAGGGTGTGAGGACTGAGGAGTACTGACGGCCCCCTGTCTCAGGGTGTGAGGACTGTGTGGGGAGTACTGACGGCCCCCTGCCCCACAGGGTGTGTGCCGTCTCCCGGGCGCCCAGTACACCACCCACCGGGTACTGACGGCCCCTGCCCTCAGGGTGTCTGCCGTCTCCCCGGTGACCAGTACACCACCCACCGTCGGCTGGACATCCGGCTGGTGCCGCACGACCAGTACCACTGCGCCGTGCTCTACTTCACCGGCAGCGACGAGTTCAACCGGTGAGCGGCCGCTGTAGGTCTGTCGGCAGTTCGAATGGTGAGCGGCGGCTGTAGGTCTGTCGGCAGTTCGACAGGTGAGCGGCGGCTGTAGGTCTGTCGGCAGTTCGACAGGTGAGCGGCGACTGTAGGTCTGACGGCAGCTCAAATGGTGAGCGGCGGCTGTAGGTCTGTCGACAGTTCGACAGGTGAGCGGCGGCTGTGGGTCTGTCGGCAGTTCGACAGGTGAGCGGCGGCTGTGGGTCTGTCGGCAGTTCGACAGGTGAGCGGCGGCTGTAGGTCTGTCGGCAGTTCGACAGGTGAGCGGCGGCTGTAGGTCTGACGGCAGCTCAAATGGTGAGCGGCGGCGGTGCGAGCGACTTTGGCGAGTGTCATTTGAGCGAGCGTCATTTGAGCGAACCATTTTCAGCGACTGGCAACTAAGCGAATATCAAATTTAGCGATTATCAAATATAGCGATTATCAATTTAAGCGAAAGCTATGTTTCAGCGACATCTTTTTCGTCGACTACAGTTTGAGCGACTGTCATTTCAGCGAAACACTTCATCGTACCGTAACGGTGTATTTTTTTTTGCGAGCGTACGTACAAAGAATGTTTCCGGAACTTTTCATGGTTATCCGGAACTGGATGGCGGATGTCACGTTCAAAGTTCAGACATTAAGCTCCAAATTTAATGCCACATTTCTAAAAAAAAAAATCCGGCGGTTCGATTTCACCCTCCCCCCGCCGTTTGCCAATAATGATGACCAAACGTTTGCTCAGATATTCATATTGCTTGTGCTGATTTTTGCGAAATTCCCCCGCTTGAATTTGAATCAGATCAGTTCGCCATGTTGTAAAATTTGTTCTTGCCCCAATCAACGTACGAATTTCCAGATATTTGGGTGAGGTCCCTGAAACATAGACTGGATCCCCCTGTGCCATCCATCGAGTTTATTATTGGTCCTTGGCATTCCTTCCATCGTCCTTTCTCTCACGTTCCACATTTCCAGATCAAGGTTGCAGAATGAGGCCAGATATTTTTGTGGTTTCCAAGCTTAAAAGCAAATTTTTAATTTGCCGCGCGCAGCTTGAAGCATGACACCAAGCGGGTACCTATTCCAAGGGCAAGAATTCCCGAAAAGTAGCAAATGATTGACTTCCGTCGCGTTCGGTTTCGCTGTAACTGTGTTCGCTTAATTGGTCCCCATTGACCTCCATATATTCGCTCAACCTGGTTTCGCTTATTCTGGTCCTCGCTTAAGCTGATCATCGCTGTCATTGAATTCGCCGGCTTGACAATCGCTGAAAAAGTCAATCGCTTAAATTGATAATCGCTGAAAAGGCTTCGCTCAAATGTCGTTCGCTGAAATGACGCTCGCTCAGGTGTCGCAGAACCGAGCGGCGGCTGTAGGTCTGTCGGCAGTTCGACAGGTGAGCGGCGGCTGTAGGTCTGACGGCAGCTCAAATGGTGAGCGGCGGCTGTAGGTCTGTCGGCAGTTCGACAGGTGAGCGGCGGCTGTAGGTCTGTCGGCAGTTCGACAGGTGAGCGGCGGCTGTAGGTCTGTCGGCAGTTCGACAGGTGAGCGGCAGCTGTAGGTCTGTCGGCAGTTCGACAGGTGAGCGGCGGCTGTAGGTCTGACGGCAGTTCGACAGGTGAGCGGTGGCTGTAGGTCTGTCGGCAGTTCGACAGGTGAGCGGTGGCTGTAGGTCTGTCGGCAGTTCGACAGGTGAGCGGCGGCTGTGGGTCTGTCGGCAGTTCGACATGTGAGCGGCCGCTGTAGGTCTGTCGGCAGTTCAAATGGTGAGCGGCGGCTGCAGGTCTGTCGGCAGTTCGACAGGTGAGCGGCGGCTGTAGGTCTGACGGCAGTTCAAATGGTGAGCGGCAGCTGTAGGTCTGTCGGCAGTTCGACAGGTGAGCGGCGGCTGTAGGTCTGACGGCAGTTGGACAGGTGAGCGGCCGCTGTGGGTCTGTGGGCAGTTCGACAGGTGAGCGGCCGCTGTAGGTCTGACGTCGTGTCCGACACGGCAGTATATGTGGGTGCGATATCACTGCACCAGGGTATGTCTATATACGACACGTACGATGGTGTTTGTGTTCTATCTACAGTACAGGGTGTCCCATAAGTTCGTTCTCACCTAAATTTTACGTTTTTAGGCTCTCTTGCTTAAAGACACGCTGAAATTGGTTCGTTACTGAGCTTACGTGGTTGCCATGGCTGGTAGAAATATGCTCCACAGTAACTAATTTCTGTAGACAAAATAGTTTTTGCTAGAGAGCCCGTTTCCTACACAGACGGCTAACGCCGCAACATAGAGGTCTCCAATACGGGTACGTCTCGGTATTTAGTCAGCACGTGACCATTCGCGACGATTGAGGGTGATTGAGGCCTACCAGTCTGTAGACAATGTCCATCGCTAACTGGACGCACAGTCAGCAAGTGACACCGATGATTTGTCGGGAGTCAATCATTGCAAGTTTATCCTCTTTTTTGTCAGCTCTCAGGAGTGAGCCATGTGGCCAAAACTGTGTGGCGCCAAAGTGGCCATCAAAAAGGTCAAAGGGTTAGAAAGTTGGTAAGCAGACTTTTCAGGATGGATTACCAGCTGTCTAAAATTGTTCTTACGGGGTACATAACTCAAGGTGACTTAAGCTTTGCTTACCGGAGGGCTCAAAACAGTCAAAAACGTCTTAAAATGGCCAAACATGAGTTTCGTTATGCCTGAGGCTAAAAAAACTAAAGGGCTGAGGACTAGGGTGTGTCATCAGTAACAGAACCAAATGCCGTAAAGAAATTCCTTGGCACTGAGACCTGCAAACACACGGCATAGCAACCGTTTTTGCAAAAAATTAAAATTCGTGCGGCGCCAGCCGTTCAAAGTTTTGGCGCCCGGCGTTGCAGTCTCCAATGCTGAGCGTCACCCAGCACTGCGAGTAACACCAAGTATTGCAGCAGGTGATAATGCAAAATAACTACCGCTGAAAATGATGCTTTTGAGCGCTTCTAAGGCTGATTGTTGCAAAAAGCATGTCATTAGAGTGTCCAATTACTGTTTTTTATTGTGCTCAATGAATTAAATCGAGCATTGCTACTGAAACTAAAGAAAAAAACTGCCCGATTTTGAGAAGCGGGCGGGGTGGAACTGGAGGCGGAGACGGGAAGTGACTCAGATTCGTCTTCTGAAAACACCGACTCCGTGGCATCCTCTGGGCGGTGCTTCTTCTTCTTCTTCTTCTTCTTCAGCATGTCATCTCGTGTGACCCGTCCCGTCTCCACCAGGAAGTCCCGGATGAGTCCAGCCTCGGTGGAAAGGATCTCCCTCAGCGTCGGCAAAGGGCCCCACGGGCGGGTCCGTGGCCCCTGGTAGGCGGGGTAGTCGACCAACAGGTGTTTGGCCGAGTCCGGTTCGTCGCAACGGACTTTCTCGTCAGACTCGGCCGGACCAAGTCGGAATCGGGTGTCTCCGGTGAGTGGGGAGCAGCTCACGCGGAGCTGTGCCACTGTGATCGACGCTCGGCGGTCCAGTTCTCTCTCCGTGGCCCAGAGCGCCACATCGTCCGCATTCGCAGATGTGTACCTCCAGTTCCCGAGCCGCAGTTATAGCCGGTCATACGAGCCTGCAGGGTTAGCGTCCGATGGCTGCGTTGGTCCTTCAGGAAGACAGCCTCCTGCTGAGTGACTCAGTGGGCGATGAGACTTGTGCACCTGCTCTGAGAGTTGCATTTGCATTTGGCGATATCCAGGAGTTGTTGAATTATGCAGTGGCGGCGCTTTGTTCCTTCCTGTGTCTCTGGTGTTTTGTTCAGAAGTCTGTAGGGCTGTCTGTGGGGCTTATAGCAGTCCCTTTTGATCACTTTCGTCGTGTGTTTTACATAGATCGCGAACAGGGATTCCTTCATTAGTTCAGAGTTGCCTTGTCCTTTTTTCGCCACGGCCCTAAATGCACTATTTGTTGGATTTCTTCTTTGATGAGCACTCAGCCACCTGACATAACTGAAGGCCTCTGCTTTAGTCAGCAGTCGCTGTTGGGACAAAAGTGCCGGCTGTCCTATCACGAAATGTTTTGTACGCGGCCGTGTCACTTTCGGCAGGGCCCTATGCTATCCGGATCATAATTCACGAGGCGAAAAAAACGTAGCTGATTAGGAAATGCCCATACGACAATTATAGCACGACACAGGGAACCAGCAAAGCGCCGCCACTGCATAATTCAACAACTCCTGGATATCGCCAAATGCAAATGCAACTCTCAGAGCAGGTGCAAAAGTCTTATCGCCCACAGTCACTCAGGAGGAGGCTGTCTTCCTGAAGGACCAGCGCAGCCATCGGACGCTAACCCTGCAGGCTCGTATGACCGGCTATAACTGCGGCTCGGGAACTGGAGGTACACATCTGCGAATGCGGACGATGTGGCGCTCTGGGCCACGGAGAGAGAACTGGACCGCCGAGCGTCGATCACAGTGGCACAGCTCCGCGTGAGCTGCTCCCCACTCACCGGAGACACCCGATTCCGACTTGGTCCGGCCGAGTCTGACGAGAAAGTCCGTTGCGACGAACCGGACTCGGCCAAACACCTGTTGGTCGACTACCCCGCCTACCAGGGGCCACGGACCCGCCCGTGGGGCCCTTTGCCGACGCTGAGGGAGATCCTTTCCACCGAGGCTGGACTCATCCGGGACTTCCTGGTGGAGACGGGCCAGGTCACACGAGATGACATGCTGAAGAAGAAGAAGAAGAAGAAGAAGAAGAAGAAGAAGAAGAAGCACCGCCCAGAGGATGCCACGGAGTCGGTGTTTTCAGAAGATGAATCTGAGTCACTTGCCGTCTCCGCCTCCACCCCGCCCGCTTCTCAAAATCGGGCAGCTTCTTCGTTAGTTTCAGAAGCCATGCTCGATTTAATTCATTGAGCACAATAAAAAGAATAATTGGACACTCTAAGGACATGCTTTTTTGCAATAATCAGCCTTAGAAGCGCTCAAAAGCATCATTCTCAGCGGTAGTTATTTTGCATTATTACCTCCTACAATACTTGGTGTTACTCGCAGTGCTGGATGACGCTCAGCATTGGAGACTGCAACGCCGGGCGCCAAAACTTTGAACGGCTGGCGCCGCACGAATTTTAATTTTGGTGGACTCGGATATGGATGAAAATTCATTATTGATCAATGTGCCAAGGGAAAACCTTACGGCGTTTGATTCTGCGAGAATCACCCCCTCGATGACACACCCTACTGAGGACATCAACCAGGTCATCTGGACTAACTAGTCCACGTTCGAGATGAAACACCCGTCCAAACCCGAAAACAACCCCATAAGGGCGAAGGAGGAGGCCTCCGTTTCGTCCCGTTATGTTCCTATGCGAAAGGCCAAGATCACGGTATTGTGGGGTTATAGGCGTCCAGCAGACGCTGACCAGGTTGCGATTGGTGTCCCAGAAACAGCTTTGGGAAGCATAATGCTTTTCCAAGAAAATCTAGGAGGAGTTTCAGCCCTCAAGCTGAACTCGAACCGCGAGTATGAACACATTTATAGAGGAGAAAATGGCATCCGAGAGGTCGTAGGCCCATCTTCAGGCAAGACAGTGCATCAGTGCACAGGCCAAGCAAAGCTTAAAAGCGGTGGAAGGAGACTGTGACAGGCGTTTGTGGCAAGACCACATGCCAGGCACCTCATCGGATCAAAATTTCATAAAAAGTTGTTGGTTATGCTGAAATTTAGGCTCGTCGAAGCGTAGCGCTGTTCCAGCCTGGAGGAGCTCACGGCGCATGTCAAGTCAGTCTGGGTTAACTTTAAGCCTGCTATGCAGCCAAACATGCCGGTTGGCATGCCGCAGCATGTGTTCATGTGTTTGCCTATTAAATGGGGAGCACATTGAGGGGTCATGAATATATCAAAACGCAAAGTACTCTGTTTCACATGCAAATAAAATGTGAGAACGAACTTATGGGACACCCTGTACACCCTGGGACACCCTGAGCTAATCAGAAGCTGCCTGAGGGTCGTGATTGTCCGACCGTGCGTAAGTGGATCTGCCCATTTGTCCATGTTATTATTTGTTCCTGTTTATTCTTGCGTGTTCCTGTATCTACTAGTTGACTATTAAGTAATGGAAGTGCCTCTAGCAATTAAAAGTTTTTGCGCGTGCACACATTTTTCTGGTGTCATCACGTGCGCTGATCTTTTTTCTATCCAATAGTGAAGACCAGATGTCTTTAGCTACATTTTACTCTGAGCTATCGACGTTTTTCCAAGAGACCACCCAAACCTGCGGCGCACGACAAAAAAGGAGCCTAGCAATGGCCAAAATCGTGCGCCAGGGCGAGATCACCAGGGCTCAGTGGCCAAGTGTTATGGCTACACGAATAAAATAATGTAAGGTGCTATATTTTCATAAAAACAATACATATAACACAATAAATAACAGCACCACTACTCCACAAAATCGCCTCCTAGCATCACACACCGTTCCAGCCTCTTGACCCAGTCCTGGAACGCCGCCAGGAGGCCATCTTCGCTGATCTGCGCGAGCACGCGGCACACCGCCCGTCGCACCTGTTGCCCGGCGCACCTGATGCCGTCGCTCCATACACTTTTAAAGGGACCCTCCCACCTTCAAAAAAGTTAATGAATTGGCATGAAAGTGATGTCCCTTGGTTCAGAAAGAGCGAAAACGAATATCTACCAATTTTCACCGAAAAATATTCACTGGTTTTCAAGATATTAGGCTTTTACTTTTGTTTACTTTTTGGGATCTCCCCTGTTACTAGCGACTTATTTGGAAGCAATAAATTGGCAGCCTTAAAGTGCGGCAGACGTTGCGCGCAAAGCAGCGTATACCACCACGTGTTAACGATGGTTTTAGTCTAAGATTTAAAAATCGTTAGATCTCAGCTGACGTCACAAATTCTAAGGGGGCATTCCAATGCATTAGCCCCTTAGAATCCGAAAACTGCAAGTTTGAAATTCCATATCTTCGAATTAAAGCATTTTTCGATGTTGTAAGTGCCCAAACCGGTATTTGCAGGCCATGGCCACCAATTTGGCTATCTCAACTCAAAACTAATGTTAAGGTGGGAGTGTCCCTTTAAAAGAAATTTCCTGATCTCAGCAGGCATTTTCCCTACCACAAACTGAGATTTAATGACCTCGCGCTGGCGCGCGATTTTGGCCATTGCCAGGCTCCTTTTTTGTCGTGCGCCGCAGGTTTGGGTGGTCTCTTGGGAAAACGTCGATAGCTCAGAGCAAATTGTAGCTTAAGACACCTGGTCCTCACCATTGGATAGACAAAACATCGGCGCACGTGATGGCACCAAAATAATGTGTGCACGTGCAAAAACTTTTAATTGCTAAAGGCACTTCCATTACTTAATAGTCAACCCTAGTATATCTAACTGTATCTATATCTGGCATATATGTATCTATATCAGTGTAGCTGACTGTTTGTCTACTGGTCTTTGTATGTTGTCTGTGCGCTGTGCAGACAGTTGAACTGGTTCTAATCTGTTGTATGTGTACTGCTGTGCAGACAGATGTACTGGTTGTTGTTTGTGTGCTGTGCAGACAGGGGTACAGGCTGTAATCTGTGTTGTCTGTGTGCTGCTGTGCAGTCAGGTGTACCATACCGGTTCTAATCTGTTGTCTGTGTTCTGTGCAGACAGTTGAACTGGTTCTAATCTGTGTTATCTGTGTGCTGTGCAGACAGGTGTACGGGTTGTAATCTGTGTTGTCTGTGTGCTTCTGTGCAGACAGATGCGCGCTCACGCGCTGGAGCAGGGGTTCACCCTGAACGAGTACGGGCTGCGGCCGCTGGGCACCACGGGTGTAGCGGGCGAGCCGGTGCCCGTGAGCAGCGAGCGAGAGGTGTTTGAGTACCTGCAGTACCCGTACCGGCCGCCCGAGCAGCGTAACCTCTGAGTCCGAGTGCCGCCCGGCCGCTACCCCGCCCCGTCCAGCAGCGCAGTCTGCGGCGGCAGCGGAGTGCCGCCCGGTCCCGGCAGCGCGGTCTGCGGCGGCAGCGGAGTGCCTCCCGGCCGCTACCCCGTCCCGGCAGCGGAGTGCCGCCCCGTCCCGGCAGCGGAGTGCCGCCCCGTCCCGGCAGCGCGGACCAGTCCCGGCAGCGCGGTAGCGCGGTAAGATAGCGCACACGAATCTCACCGAATGTGTGACTTGTCTCGCTGTTTTCTTTGTTATTGCTGCGAAGGTGCTAATGATATTGCTCGCTCACTTCACGATGTTTTTATTAGCGATAACTCCAACCAACCGATCTGCAGTAGGTAGGCTGCGTTATTGGGTATAGAAGACAGCACGATTGCCATCTGCAGCTCGGGGGACGGCCTGCTTCTTGTTTTCCCCGGCAGATGGCAGTCACAGTATGCTGGCCCGTAACAGCGGGACGATATTAGTCATATAATGCCCGCTTGGTGGTCAGCATACGATCACCACACCGCCTTTGACATGTGTTTATAATACGAACAGTGATGAGTGATGGAAGTTAAATACAATGTTATGTTGTCTGTATAAAGAAAATGCGTGTTCAGTGCCTACCTGTCACCGTTCCACACCTTGCCTCTGGTGCAGGGAGACTGGCCCTCTGGGCAGATGGAGAGCAGACCCAGCACCTGTCCGCTTGTATGTCCATTAGGCTCCAGTCAGTGTACACTATTTTGTGACGTGCATAAAGCAGTGACCCACCTATCTCATTTTCATCAGTTGCGGTGGCTATCGCGTGAATAATTTGTTTACGTATATTTTGCTCAATAAAATATGCAAGCTTATCGGAGTTTTGGCCTCACTATAACAGCTATGACGTACCGAAGGTCAGTCAGTGTTCATCTCACTCTGACAGAACTAGAAGACGCTTTGCACAGCAGAGCTGCAGGCCGACAGGCATGTAGTCGCCCTGACAATGTCATCATACTGCTGACAATGTTATTAAGCCGCTGACAATGTCGTTTAGCGTGACACCGGCCGTAAATGGGCTGTACTCTGAAGACTAGTTTGTATGCATGGAGTCTGTCCCGCCCACCGGCGCCGGGCACATATTGTGCGGGAGACGCCCAAACACCCGCACACACACACGCACACGCAGTCGATTTGGAGCACGTTAGGTTGGGGCCGTCGGACAGTCGGTCTTCCGGTCACCGTTCACCGCGTCTCACCTGAACAGGGTGGATCGCCACACCCAGATGCTTAGTCCACAGTCCACAGTCCACACACAGTCCACAGTCCTCAGTTCACACTCACAGTTCACGGTTCACAACACAGTCCACAGTCCACACTCACGGTCAAACACAGTCCACAGACTCCATAAACCACAGTGCACACTGCACAGTCCTCAGTCTGGTTCACAGTTCATAGTCCAGTCGAACGTACGCAGTCCACAGTTAAAATCCAGTTTGAACTCCACAGTCCACAGCCCATAGAGTTCAGTCCGCACAGCCTAACAGTCCACAGTTTGCAGTCCATAGTTCGGTCCTCAGTCCATAGTTCAGTCCACAGTTTACAGTGCGGTCTCTAGTCCACAGTCCATATCCTCCCGAGTCGGCCCCTCCCCTCCTGCCCCTCCCCTCCCTCCCTGCTGCTCTCCGTCGCTCCCGTCACCGCCGCGTCTCCTCAGTGGACCGTCGGCAGCGGCGGGCGTCGGTGGCGGCGAGGAGATTCCTGCGGCGCACCGCAGGGTGAGCGCGCGGCGGGCGGGCGGCCGGGACAGCGCGCGGGTAGCTGAGACGCGACGCGCAGGTGACGGCTCAGTGGCACTGCTGGTGACGGCTCAGTGGCACTGCTGGTGACGGCTCAGTGGCACTGCTGGTGACGGCTCAGTGGCACTGCTGGTGACTGGGTCAGTGCCCAGTGGCACTGCTGGTGACTGGGGCCTGTGAGACACCGGCGACTGTTGATACCCGTCCCGCCCAGTGGTAGCCCGGTAGCTGGTCCCGCAGTGTTTCAGTCTCAGCCGAGGCTGACTGGACGGTAGCTGGTCCCGCAGTATCTCAATCCCGACCAGGGCTGACTGGACTGGCGTCACCCCGCGCCGGCCCCGCGCCGGCCCCTGTCCCCGGCACTGTGTGTGTGATCTCCTCCGGTAGCGTGTGGCCGGCCGGACGCAGCAGACCGGTCGCCAGAGCGCCGCCGCCTGTCCGTCTCTGGGTCAGCGGGGACGGCTGAGGACAGCGGGGACGGCTGAGGGGAGCCGGCTGAGGGCAGCGCCAGTGACCTCGGCAGCGGCTCGCTGTCAGCGCGATGGGCGCCGCTCAGGCCAAGGCGCGCCTGTACGCGGTGTCGGCCGGCCGGCCGGGCCGCCCCGGCTCGCTGAGGGCCCGCTCAGAGGCTGGCGGCGAGCCGCCGGAGCCGACCGAGGGGCCGCGGCTCACCGAGCGCGACAAACACTACCTGAAGGAGACCTGGCGGACCCTGGAGTCGGACCCCACCACTGTGGGCATCATCACCTTCTCACAGTGAGTACCGGGACAGGGCCACCTTCTCACAGTGAGTGCTGGGACAGGGCCACCTTCTCACAGTGAGTACCGGGACAGGGCCACCTTCTCACAGTGAGTACCGGGACAGGGCCACCTTCTCACAGTGAGTACCGGGACAGGGCCACCTTCTCACAGTGAGTACCGGAACAGCGGTGAGTACCGGGACATGTATGAGTACTGAGACAGCACCACAGATCTGGACAGTCAGGTCGGTCTGACATTTCACCAGCCACTATGTTACGGCAGATGGTGATTTCTCGGACCACGGCAGGATTCAACGCCCAATCGGGCAAAAACCGCCACTGCTCGTGTCGCGTTATAGCCGTATTAGATAAGCGTTATAGCATTCACAGCAATCACCATCTGTCGTAACATAGTGGCTGGTGAAACGTCAGACCGACCTTCACCATGATTGTCCAGCTCCAGGTCTGCACAGACAGACTATACGGACTCGGGGCACTCCACGCCCGGACAGACTGCGGACTCGGGGCACTGTCCGACCCGTGTCCCTGTCGGCCCGCAGCTCCTCGGGAAGTAGTCGGAAGCAGCGCTCTCGGTATATGTATTCCACAGTCCCTAACGAGATCACTGACAGTGGATAGGGTGGGGATGTCTGCCGAGTTGGGTCGGGCCGGAGCTGACGAGACATATGCACCAAACCCGCCAGCCGCCGGCGGACGCGCAGTCGCCGCACGGTGATTTACAGGGACCGCTGATTTACACGCAGCATATCTGTCACAGGACGGATGCTGTATCACCGCTATCAGTTGTGTGTCAGTCAGTTGTGCAGAGAAAATGCTCGCGCAGAGGAAACAACGTACCGTAAACCGGGGTGAGTTGATATGGGGTGGTGAGTTGATATAAATTGCTCGAAAAATGTTAAAATGTGTGCTGCTCATCCATTTGTAAACCAATTTTCAGTTTTATTTTTCTGTGAAGTGAAGCAACCAATAAGTGATGCATATAGCTGAGAAAGGCATGCATGTGGTGCAGTGGCTTCTTAACACATTACTTTTTTCAAAGTCCTTTTTTTCTTCTGATTTTGAAACTAAGGAAAAGTCCCCACCCTAGAGCAAATACGGTGGATATTCACGGAACAACATGCACTGGGAAAGAAACTACCATCAATTTACTGTTGATCCCAGGTAGTTTTGGGTTTCACCTATAACAACGCTTTTTTATAATTTTAAGAAAAGTGACAGGTGGTGAGTTGATATGCCATCAAGTGGTGAGTTGATATGCATGATAAGAGCTGATATCAGGCTGGTATGCATGCAAATTAGCATGAAATATGGGTCTGCAGGTAAGACAAAGTCAATTAGACCAACTCTTCTCCTTTTCTCTCCCCACATCATTCCATCAACCCCCAAAAGCTTTAGTTTTTTTCTGAATGCTTGAGACGAGGCCTGTTCATGGGTGAAACTTTGACATCACCATTGGGGTCCCAAACGTCCAAGGGGGCCTCCATTTAGTGGGGACCTCCAAACAATTAGGGGCCTCCAATTGCGGAAGCGGTAATTTGCGAACCACGTCAGGGCCTCCTCTAAGAAATTTTAACTGGGGGACCAGAGGCTCAGAAGCCAAACCTAGGGTACTCCCAAATCCAGTTTTCTCATTGGATTTAGGCCACTTATTTTTCGTCACAGCCCGGATGCCATGATTTTTTTTTTAAATATCAATAAAGAAATGGTAGGTCACCTGACCTTACTCATGGATCCAGGCCAGCAGGATGACATTGTATGTAAATATCCCCCGCGTCGACCGAAATCGACGCAAATTTCTGGCTTTTTCACTTTCGACAATAAAACAAAAAGCCTTTATTATAAAAAAAAAAAATTAACGGCACAGCATTGCGCAAGGAATCTAAGCGACCCCAGAAAGTGTGAGGGTTAACCCGGCGGCCGCTGGGCCTCCGCGCCACCCGCCGGCCGCTGGGGGGGCATAAAGTTGCCCCCCCCTTTACTTCTGCGACGATATCGTCGCAACGCGAAGAGATAGAGAAGCGAAACTTTGCATACATCTTCCTGAACACCTAGCCGAGGTTGTGTCCAAATTTGGTGTTGATCCCATTTGAAATGACGTCACAGTGACGTCATAAGTGAAATTATAGATTTGCGACTCTCATATTCCTCACGATACATCACATATATGGAACCGAATATAAAGGGCCGATTATTGGTCAGAAACTAGATGGAAGTGTAGTAAGATGTTTTAGGATGACAGCAGGTGCTGTCTAGTTCATTTACAGTCGAGTTTCATGCTCAGCGTCATCAGAAACGGTCCATATCGGAAAACGACAAAACTTTATGACGTCACTGTGACGTCATCCTAGGTGCTACAACCACCAAACTTTCCTCAAACATTGCCTAGGTATTCATTTGAAGCTATGCCAAGTTTCACGTTCGTAGCTCATCAGGTTTCGGAGATATTTCACAAAACGTAAAGGGGGGGCAACTTTATGCCCCCCCCCAGCGGCTCGTGGGTTAACCCTAGCCCGCACCTGGGGGGAGGGTTGCCACCCCCAAGTTAGTTTTTCTGCTCTACACTGAACATTTTTTAAGCTAGAAATCTGATTTTTGGATAGCTGCTTTTCCATCTTTTCTCAGCGTCCATTGAAAATTTCAAGTTTCTGTGGCTTTTGGGTTTGGAGATATGATCTTGTTCTTCAGGTCATGTCATGACCTAAATGACGGATACCCAATATCTTGCGTTGGCTATGGGCCTTGTGAGCTTTTGAGGCACCTTGATGTCGTTTTTTTGCCAATCTT